CATTTCCAGCAGATCAAGGGAAGTAATTATCCCCCTCTATTCAGCACTGGTGAGGCCATATCTTGAGTACTGTGTTCAGTTTTAGGCCCCCCACTACAGAAAGGATGTGGACAAGTTGGAGAGAGTCCAGTGGAGGGCAATGAAAATGGTCTTGGGGGCTGGGGCACATGACTTCTGAGGAGAGATGGAGGGAACTGGGTTTATTTAGTCTGCAAAAGAGAAGACTGAGGGGGGATTTAACAGCATCCTTCAACTACCTGAAGGGGGGGTCAAAAGAGGACGGAGCTGGACTGTTCTCAGTGGTGGCAGATGACAGGACAAGGAGCAATGGTCTTCAGTTGAAGCAAGGGAAGTTTAAGTTGGATATTAGGAAAAACTTTCTGACTCAGAGAGTGGTGAAGCACTGGACCAGGTTACCCACAGAGGTGGTGGAGTCTCCATCCTTGGAGGTTTTTGAGGCCTGGCTCAACAAAGCCTTGGCTGGGATGATCTAGTTGGGGTTGGTCCTGCTTTGAGCAGGGATTGGAAAAATGTGACCTCCTGAGGTCCCTTCTAATCCTCCTTTTCTATGATTCTATAAAGAAAATGTATGGGCTGGAGAAGAACTAAAGACTTACTATATTAGAGATTTTAAAAAATGTTTTTTATAGAAAGGATGGAAGTTCCGGTTTGCCTTACATTTTTCTGTGCTTTTTTAACATGCACTCCTTTTTCTTTTGGAGAGAACTTTGAAGCCTCTTGGAACAGATATGGGCAAGGTTCTTTGGACCAAATTCTGCCCTCACAGCCATCTGCGCAGCCCCATTTTGTTTCAGTGGGGCAGCGCATAGGAGAATTTAGTTGCAAGCATTTTTAAAACTGAACTGAAGAGTTGCTATGGGATGGGGAGAATGACAGGCATTAAAAGTACAAAAGAAGCTGAGATGCCAAGGGAACACAGCCCCAGGGACAGACCAGGAGGAATTTCTACTTCATCAGTAAGAAGGCAGGGAGAACATGTGAATGCTGTAGAAAGAGAATATTGTTATGCCCCTTTATAAATCCATAATGGATCCACACCTTGGACACTGTGCCCAGATCTTCAAAAAGGATATAGAAAACAGTAGAGAAGATGCAGAGAAGAGCAACAAGGATGATCAGTGGTATGAAGTTGATTCTATGAGGAGAGACTAAAGAGGCTTGGCCTAATCAATTGAGAAAAGAGAAGCTTCAGGAGGAACGTGATAAGGGTTTACAAAATACTAAAGGGTAAAGTGAGAGCAAATAGGGTTTTTTTTAATCTCTCTCACAAGACAAGAACGAGAGGTCACACAATGAAACTACTAGGTAGCACATTTAAAACTATCCAAAGGAAATTCTTTTTCATGCAGCATGTAATTAAAGGGTGCGATTTGTTGCCACCATGTGCTGTGGAAGCTGACAACTTAGCTGGATCCAAAAAAGGATTTGACAAATTCTTGGAGGAGAGGGCCACCAGTAACTATTGATCATGGGCATTAGGGAGACAGCCTCTGAATCAGAACTTCCTAGATCTTAAATGCTGGAGATGGCAAGTGAGAGAGGAACAGAGGATATAAACCCTGGTCAGAGGCAGTTCACTCTCCCTTTCAGCATCTGCCCTCTGCCCCTGTGACACAGGACACTGGGCAAGATGGACTTATGGTCTGCCCCAGTCAATGGCACTTCTTCTGCTCGATGTTCTTATGTAGGCCAGCCAGGAGATCTGACTACCATGAAGGGGACAACAAAGACAACACTGATTCTTGATTACTGAACACCCTGCTGCTCTTTGGTCTCAGCAGTGGATCTCTACAGTGGAACGGAAAACTATCAGAATCTGGTCTGTTGGCAGAACAAGTTGCTTATATTGGGAGTTTAGATTTGGGTCTCAAGCCTTAGCGTCTTATTGTGGGAAAGCGAAGGAGCACTAGAAGAATGGCATGCTTAGCCCCTCCTGGTGGGGACACCTTTCCAGTGCTTTACCAGAGCTCTCATCTGACCGACTGATGTTTCAAAACCCGGGGTCTCTGGAGGGAGGTGCAAGCAGCCCTGTTTGCAGTAGTGATGTTCAGCTTGTATATAGGCCCTGTTGCAGGAGACAGAGGATATATCAAAGAATACACTTAAAAAAACCCTGAAGGCCCAACTGCATGAGGTGCTGCCAGCCTCCTGAAAAACACCAAGCTTGCTGAGCTTTAGGTAACCTCAGTGAGAGACAGACACTCAGCACCTACGTCACTTTATGATTTTGTTGCTCATGGTGGGGATTTACTGCATACAAGTGCTACTACACATACACTCTGTCTTCTCAGTGTGGCACATGCCTTCCAGCAACCCATTAGCACCCGTCTTCACGGAGAGAGCAGTTCTCACTCTGCTTGGCAAGAGAGTAGGAGGCTCAATATGGAGTAGGAACATCAGAGCGTGCTCCTGCTGCCCAGGAAAGCGAGGCCACACAGAGCCCCCGAGGGGTGAAGGAGGCTGTGTTTCTTAGCTCTCCAACATCCCTTTGTCCATGGGGGTGTTTGGGATTGGGATGAGCAGGGAGTGTAGTACGAGATGCATCTATTCCCCCAACTTCTGCTTAGCAGTTCTGCTCAAACCCTTTTATTAAGGTGGTGTGGATCAAGATGTGTACACTAGATTGTCCTTAATCCTGTTATATGAAGACACTGCAGGATTTAGGTCATATTTCACAGGACATGCTTCACATTCTCAGTGAATTTCCTTTCAATTACTCGGTCTTCATCAGAGCATTAATTTTCTTTTTATACATTTCATTTGAGGATACCTGTAGGAAGAATATATGGCACCGTCTCTTTGTGGTGTCTTGACTTTCTCCAGCATTGCAGCGCTTTTCTCATCTCACTGTTTAGTCCTAGTAACTTTGCTTAGTCCTAGTAACCCTTAGTCCTAGTAACCCTTAGTCTCTTAACCTTGCATAGTCCTAGTAACCCTTAGTCCTAGTAACCCTTAGTCCTAGTAACCCTTAGTCTCTTAAACTTGCTTAGTCCTAGTAACCCTGGCACAGCAAATGGAGCGATGGGCACCGAGCCTGTTACTTCATTTGGGATGGGTATTACCTAAAACAAGCAAAGAGAAAACCCATCACCCCAGAATGGTACCACACTGAATCATTTAGAATGATTAGGACATTAATCAAACAAGTTTTGTGTGGTACTTCCTGAAAGACAATGGGCCACACTCATCAACTTAGTTAAATGTGACATAACTGCTGAATTAAATGGAATTATGCCTCAGTCTCACTGGTTTAGCCACTGTAACTAAACTAAGAACATAGCCCTGAGAGTCTTTTGCAAAAAGAGCAGATCAAATGATATAACTATTTATTAGAATATATAGTCCTATATTTTCCCCACTGGAGAAAAACTGAAAAATAAGATGTGCATATAAACCCAAATAAAGGTTAATGTTGGTAGGTAAGTTCCTAAAGATAAACAGTTTGGAATAAAAAGCTAAGAACAATAACCCTGAAAATAGCATCTCTACAATTAGTGCAGTATTAATACACTTATGCATGCAAAGTGCCATGCATTTGTATCTATTTTGACCTTAGAAAAATATGTTACTCTAGTAAGTAATAATTTAGGAACAGTTAATTATGGACCTTGGAGGTCACACCCTACTTCTAACAAAAAAGAAAAGAGATTTAAATTATCCAGTATAGGAAAGTGCAATGGCTTATTACAAAATGAGGGGGAAAAAATGTCTTCATCACAACCTCTTGAACTGCAGCATGCAATAATGGCTATATCTATATCTATATATATGCATATATATTGTTTGACAAACATATCAACAGTGTAAGAAGTTTATTTTTCATGATTTCACTTCTCGCTATATGATAAGCATGCAATGCCAGGTGTATCCCTAGTTGTAACTCCACTGACTTGGTTCGAGTTAAACCAGCGATGCCCTGAGCCCACATGTTTTGAGAGAATGAAATCAAATGTAGTAGGAAAAGAGACAGAGTTTTTGCTGGCTTATAGGTATAGCTTAAAAGACGGTGATCCCTTAAAAATAAAAAGTATTACATTCCATGTCCAGAGAGACTCTTGGTAATTGGAAGAACAAGGAGGAGATGAGGATCCATAATGCAACACATCAGAGAGGATCTCATTGCTTTGACTGGGCTATATCTTGTCCTCATATGTATACGTGAAGCTCTGGCTGAGTCGAATGGGAGCCGCATGCAGGCAGATGAAGGCAGAAGTTGGCTGACCATATTTATATGATTAAAACAAACCAAGACATGTAAGTAAAAAAAATAATTGCAAATGATTTCAACCTAAACTGAATTCTGCAATAGAAAATCTCTCCTAGATTGATGCTTAAATATTTCATGAGTCCCCAGATACCAGGTTCTGTTCAGGAAAGAAAGTCACAATGGCCTTTCCAGCTGTTCTGGAAAACTACTGATAAGCAAGAGTAATAAAATGGCATTCATAAGAGCCTTTATGGGGTTTTTTCTGCTACACTTGCAGAACCCATGAGTGATTTGGTTTAGACAGGAAGCATCTTGCCTTGTGTAGGGGGTAGGAGTAAATGAAGTCATAAGGTCCCTTCCAGCCCTGTTTTTCTACAATGCTAAGACCATAGGGTCTTTTCATTTTTTAGCTCATCATTCTCCCTTACGGGGTAGCAGTACAAATTCTTAAGGAGACAGTTCTGCATGAAAACAAGAATGCATTAAAAGCCAAAAATGGATTTTAGTTACACCAGAGTCACTAAGCTTAAGTGCCTGGGAGACAAATTCCCAGTTTTCTTTTCCTTTCCATATGATACCTAGAAATGTTATGACAAAGGAAAACATTACTCACTGCAATACAATCAATACCTATGTGAATAGGAAGGAATCGTTAAGACATCACTCTTGGTGGCAAAGATGAACATTAGCAGCTTTCAAAGGGAACAACACACAGTTTTCTGGGGGAGGGAACATCTAGAAATGTTCCCATGCTTCATAATTGCACCTCAAGGGTTCAAATTTATATGGATCACTGAAGAGAAATGTAAGAGGAGGCTGCCGTTCATCGGTACATTTCCTGAAAGGGGTGGCAACTACACATCTTAAAGATTCAAACCAAAGTCAATAATGCCTTGCAATTACACATGGGTCCAAATCAGGACCCTAAATTGGAACATTTCCAGCCCTGAATACTAGTACAATTTTATTCAGATCTCAGTTTTTGCCCCTGTATAATTTGGGCCAACCAAAACCTGGATCTAGAAGTTTCTGAACTTTGGATCTCGATTCATACCTTGCAGTTTTGGTCCATCTCTATTTTTCCTATAAAGGCTCACCATTCCCAAAGTCCTGTTTCAAGCAAAAACTCTGATTGATTTCACAGGTGTTTCACCTACATATAAAATCCAAAGGTTGAGCCAACAGTTATCAAATGGTAGAGGTAACCATGGAAGAATAGAATGAGAAGGGGGAAATTGCATTGCCTAGCAAAGGAAATCATCAATGAACTCTACAACAAGGAAGCAGAAGGCTTTTACAGGGTAAGTGAAAAATCCCTGGCTCCCAACCACTACAAATCAGTGCAAGAGGGAAAAGAGACATAATGGAACCAAGAGTAAGCTGCAGAGAGTATTCTAGTAGAAAATGTGAGCACACACCCATTAGTAACAGTCTGTCAGATCAGAAGCTAAGATCTAGCATTAGTCAGCCACAAATACAAATATATGCAAGGATATCACGGTTCTGGACATAAACAAATCTAACATCTTTTAAAAGGAACCCCCAAGCTGTACAAAGTAGACATAACAAACATTTCCCACTATGATATCTGCATACAGTTCCCCCCACGGATACCATATATTCAGGAAGACGTTGTTCATTGATGTGAGGCTAGACTGTATTCAAGAGTTTATAAAGCAAGCCCTTTTAAAGAACTCTTTGAAATGGGAGATGTACGTGGCAAAATAGAGGGCAGAATGTAGCCCCAAGTGCTTAACGTAAAAACTGGCTAGGTCTCTTTTCATTCCTTCTGTTGCGTTTCTAAGCTGTATAGTTTACAAAGCTGGGAATGTTATTTCATAATACTTTACAGCATAGTTCTAGTATCATGCAGTAACTGCAGATTTACTGCATACTTCTATTAAATTTCAACAGCCATAACAAAGCTTTATGGTGCAGACAGTAACACCCAAATATTTAGCAATGGTAAACATTCCCCCCCAAGGACCGATCTGGCTCCTTATAGTTTGGGGCATGTTCAACTCCACACAAACTTTAAAATATTCTTTTTCGCAGGTGGCAAAATGTAGATTCTACTGACCTTTTTTGGATAAAAGAGGTGCAAACCCCACATTTGGTAGTTTATTATACGTACCAGCAAATAGGTACCTCTGCACCTTGAACCAAATAGGTAACGCATATACTGTGTGTGTTCCAGAACTGGTTCATCTATAGCACAGTCACATTGCTATGTTGGTAATATGTAATTCCGTCATTATTTTAAAACACCTGCTCAGTTGATATTCAGTATTCACTGTTAACACTGAGAACTTCAGAATCTAGAGTATAACTCTGCACTACCTGCAGTTACTATTGCAGTAATAATGGCCTGGGTTAATTTAACAAGATATATTAATTCAAGGGGAATTCCAGAATTCACAGATGTCAAAATATATTTATGGTAATCATCAGTTATAGGGTTCACAATCACCATATTGGGAAAAAAGTCCAATTCAGTTTTAAAGAAACCAAGTTTTGTGTTTCCAATTGGCCTGCAATCATTTCCTTTCCCATATATCCAGTATCTGTGTCACATAGCAGCATAGATTTACCATCTTAACTAATGATAACATTTTAATTGTGGTACAGAGATATACATAGTATGTTTGTGTTGGGAAGTACTTTGGCTTGGACTGGTTTAAATATCTACTTCCCAAATGCATAGGTTTAACTTCAACCACCTTGTTCAGGAAAAGAAATCTGGAAAAAAAATATCATGGAATTTTTTTTTTTTTACTTTCCCTTTTTTTCTTTTCTCATTGGAAATGCTTGTTGCTTTTTTTCTAAGCAACGTTATCAAACTCTTGGAGCTTACATTATTTTATTCTTGGTAGCTCTTTCCCCTCACCCCCAACTTTCAGTCCTACATGGGCCAGCTTAATCAATTTGAACTAGAGTTGGAGATTCAAGAATGCTTAATAGCCAATAAATTCTTGCTTAGCAGAGGTTGAGGATTCAAAGAAAACTTTTAAAATTATTTCCACTTTTGTTATTTTTGTTAGAAAAAAAGAGTTTGCACCTTGACATGTCATGAACACCCCTCCATGATCTTCCTTTTTCTTGTTACACCTGGCCAGCGCAAGCAGCTGAGATCTTTGCTCTATTTTCCCTGCATCTCTGTGCAACACTTTTTTAAAAAGATAATATATTATTTTTTCTAAGCCTTTCAGACTGCGGTTACATGATCAGGATTCTCCTGAATTTCTATGCATTCGATTTCTTCCCGCTCCTTCCTTTTAGCCCGTTTCTTTTTCTTGTGGTGCTTTTTGGAGGGTGGGAAAAAGGTTAGAAAGACGGGGAGAATAACAAAACAGTGCAGAAGTGTGCAACTGCCAGTGAGCAGCAAGCATTTGAACAGTGTGAAGGTCAAGTTTGAAGGCACAAAGAGAAGGGGGACCAACCCAATAAGAAAAGAAGTAATATTTTGCAAAATGGCTGTCCCATGCTCTTGGAGGGAGTCTTTTATACACTGAGTTCGGGTGTGCTCGGTTGCTAATACAAATGTATAAAGCAGGGGTGCACAGTGATCTATGGCGAAATTCAAAGTGTAGATAAGGCACAGTATAGAAATGCAATCCATGTCTACATTCCATAAAGTCATCAAACCTAGGACACCCAGCTCTATTGAGGTGACACTGAGAATTAACCAGAAGTTTCCCAGAGGATGAATAACCAGGAAAAAGGTCAGTATTAACATCAGCAGGATGCCAAAGCCAGAAATCAGGACGGGCATAGTTACTGATAAACCATAGTGGTCCATGAAAACAAAAGTAGGATTGAACACAATGAACTTGATGCTCTGGATTAGAGAGAGCGGTCTTAACTTCTCCAACAATTCCACCACCTCTCTTTGTGTGTTTTCACTAGTCCTAGCCACCAGGTACATGCGAGAAGCAATGATATTGTTCTCATCTCCAGTCTTGGAGAAAATTATGTCATTTTTGAAGTGCTGGAATTCTGGTTTTTTTAAAAAGGAACTCTGGAGGATGCTGATAAAGTCACTTTTGTTAGTGGCACTGATGTTACTAACTCGCAGGTATTGATAGTACTGTTCCATCCAGGACACTGTATTGAACCCATGGCTCAGTGTTTTTAAGTCTTCTTGTACAGTGCCATTCCAGTATTCAAGAGGCTCATAGATGTAGAATCCTATCACTGGGCTGTAGTTGCTAAAATACTTTTGCTGGATGAGGGCATAAGAGACGCTTGGAGAATCACTGGCAAGGAGGTTGATAATATTGGCCCCATCACTGATCTGCAAGCACCCCATAAAGGAGAAAGAGGCATAAATGAGGTACAGTATCACTACAAATGGCTTGACGTAGATGTTAGTAATCCACTCATTGTAATGTTCTCGTAGGAAGTGCTGGATGAAGTGATGCTGGTACGGGTTGGTTTCATGATGAGAGGTATGTTGATGGCCATCGCTCATCATGGTTTGGAACCACACGGGTTTCCGGTCCAGGTATTCTGCTGAAGGGATTTTACAGCAGAAGATGCTGTGGTAGCGGTTCTGCTCCAGCTGTCCAGCAAAAACTAGGCAGGAGCCAAAGAAGGAGAAAATATAGAAGTAGTTCAATAGGATGGAGACACACATGTTCTGGCAGAAAATTTTCACAGCCTCGATATTGGTGAAGGGGCTGGCACCCATTCCAAAGGCTATAAAGTACAAGGAGCTTGTCATTGTATAGGAGACCATGACATCTGAGTAGGCATCTGCTACCCTATCCTTAAATGGCAGATTCTCTCTGGTTCTGCGCCATCCTGAAAGTAGCTCAAACACGCCTTTGGTTCCATGACCTAAAATAACAACAAAAAACAGGTATAAACAGGGGGTCCTACTTTTCATGCTGCAATATTAATTTTAACTTTTGTCTCCTACTTTTTACTGAACATCTTTTGTTTTATTGGGGTTTTATGTTTTAATAGTTAATTGAATGCAATGTTTTCAGATTTGTGTATCTGAGCAAGCTGCCTGATACTCAGAATTGGTGTGTAAACAGATCCATTGGCCTTTGCAGAGACCACAACTGACTAGAAAGGGTGCTGAATTTGGTCAAAATGAGCTATTCAAATATGGGTTTAGGGGTCTAACTTGTAAGTGCATGAGTTTGAACTGACTTTGAGATTCCTAACTGCCATATCCAACTATTACCTTGAGGAAAAATGTTGCCACCCTTACTAACGCAGGAATAAAATATTCCTCAATAGGTGTAAACAAATGGGGATGCTTGAAGGATAAGGAAGTACACAGTGGGCATGTTACATGTGATATTAGTGTGACGCAATAAACCCCAGCACAGTGTGTACCAGAGTTTATTGCTTCCCAGGTACAGTGTTTACACGTATGCCCGGGGACACAGTACATTGAGCCGGGTTGGAGCAGTCCTCGTTTGACCCCAGTACTCTTTCCTGCCATGGCAGGGGGGCGGACTAGATGATCTGCTCAGGTCCCTTCTGACCCTAGAAACTATGAAACTGAAACTGGCAGGGGGCCCTGGGGTCAGCCTGCCAGCCATGGGCTGCTCCATCCCTGCTCAACATGCTGTGGAGGGGCTGGATGGGGCACAAGCATTCTCCAGTGTGGGGCTAGCTGATAGGCAGCTCCCACGCTGAAGCACCCTTGTGCCCCAGCCAGCCCCATCAGCATCTACACTTGCATGGCAGCACACTAAATAATGGATAGTTCTTCTGTTTACAGGTACTAACCTATGATGGCACTTATTAGTTTACTGCGGCCTAATAAGGCTGCACATGTATGCACTGAGACTTTACTGCAGAGCAGAGCTAATTAAGCAGCTCCACCATAAACACCACAGTGTGAGTTAGGATGGGACAATCTGGCCCTTAGTGCTACATGAGGAGAAGAAATATTAACGTTGCCGAGAATATGCAAGTTCACAAATTCATTTGTGTAACGGTTTCAGAGTCTCGTGTGAAAGAGGGCCTTTTAGAGTATAATGCTTGAGCCTTTATGCTACATGGAAGTTGACATAATGATAAAAAGTACGTTTGCTAGACCATTCATCCATATTAGTTGCCATGAAAACTTACATTTTCTCCTTGGCTACCACTTCATCTCAATCTCTTAGGCTAGGTACAGACATTAAGAAGCCCAAGGCAGAATCAACCCAATCTACATGGGTTTCTTGAAGCTGTGTAGATTGGATCGGAAGCAAATGAACTCGTGTTCACCCTTCGGTGTTGGGAGGCAGGTTGCCTGCACTGGCTGAAGCCAGATGGTGAAGGACGCTCTCACACGCCAGCCGGCATGCCAGAACCTGCCGAAGCATGCCATATGCAGCCAAGGGACTACGCCATTCCTGATTGGCTGTGACACACATGCCTCCCCCTGCTGCCCTGTCATATACCAGGAAGTAGTCAGCTGCAGTCAGCCAGCAGATGGAGGCATGCTCACCCTACCACTCCTGGTGGCATGGGCATCCCTGGGCTTTGTCCGGTTGGGCAATACAGGGTCCACCCCAAACAGGACAGAGGTGGGGGGGAGTGGGATGCATGAGCTACCGGGTGGATGTGATGCCAGCACAAACACACACAAAATATGAAATATAAAATATATAAACTATATAAACTATTCAGTTTGACCCTGAGAGTGGTGGTGGATGGGTCATTTTCAACCTGGAGGGATGTGGGCAGTGGGGTCCCCCAGGGCTCGGTCCTCGGTCCTGCACTGTTCAACATCTACATCAGCGACTTGGACAAGGGGGTAAAAAGCACCCTGTTCAAATTGGCTGATGACACTAAGATGTGGGGGGATGTGGGCACACTAGAAGGAAGGAATAGGCTACAATCGGACCTAGACAGGTTACAGGGGTGGGCGGACGAGAATAGGATGGGATTCAACACTGACAAGTGTGAGGTGCTGCACCTGGGGAGGAACAACCGGCACCATACCTACAGGCTGGGGAACTCCCTTCTCGTCAGGGCAGAGGCAGAAAAGGATCTTGGAGTCATCATTGACTCCAAGATGAACATGGGCCAGCAGTGTGGGGATGCAGTCAGGAGGGTCAACCGTACCTTGTCGTGCATCCATAGCAATGCTGGTGGTGAATAAAAACCTTACAGACACAAGCTAAATGTACCAGTCCAAGACTGTGGCAAAAATTTCCCACCTGCTCTGAGGACCAACCTCAGCATCTTCCACAAGAGAGGCAAGGTGCACTTCTTCAACTTGCCTCCTTTCACAATAACAGGTACACAGCTAACAGCAAAACTGAGCCCAAAGCCTTTCCACAACACAACACTTCACTTTATGCACAACTCTTTCTCCAGGGAGTGGAAGAAAGAAAGAACAAATCACATATGACAGACTTCAGTCATGTCGCTTAATGCATTATTGAAATGCACTTAGATGCTTCAGTTATGAGGGCAGTATAAGAACCCATAATAAAAGGAATAGAATAGGATCTGGGCTGAATTGTCTCCCTGGCCCCGGCACACTTTACACTTAAGACATGATCAACCAGTTAATCACATCTGAGGTTGTTACCCAGCCACACATTAAAGCAAATAATGGTGTGATAAAACAAAGAGTAAGGCATGACATTATTACACAAGACATGTGTAATAACTTTTTGGTTGGTTCCCATCACACCATTAATTGAACTCGTGCTTGGCTGGGGCCTCCAGCTGTGAGGGTGCAGCTGGGAACCCTGTCAGCTGATCCTGACTCCCAGACCTAGGGGCACACCATGTGGTCCTGTGGTTGGGAGCTGAGATCAGCTGACAGGGTTCCCAGCCATGGAAGCATATGGTGAGCCCTATGGCTGGGAGCCTGGATTAGCTGACAGCTCCCAGCCCTGTCATGATGGCAGTCCTAGCTGTGGGAGCTTGCTTCTTGCTGGTGTCTGGGGAACACGGGATTATGATCATGAATGGTGCCTCTTGCACCAGCAAGAAGGCATGATGGGACTTGATGCTAGAGCCCACCATCACACCTTGTGTCATGCAGGTGTGCTATGGCCAGAAGAGCAATTGTGGGGATCTCACATCCGAACCCATCCCACCTTTACTTGCAGGTCTGCCAGGGACCCTTGAGCCCACAGAAAGCCTGAAACTGTGACTCATGTTGTGAGCTCATGCACGTGATCACACAACATCATAATGCTATTGTGCATCACTAGTCAAAGAAAATTTTCATTTTGGGTGAAAAACCAGTTTTTAGTTAGGAAAAAAGTTTTGATTTAAAAAAAGTTTAGCCAGCTCAGGTGGCTATCAGCAATTAAATCTGTGGCTCTCAACTTTCTCCTTACCCTGATTCTTTTTTTTGCGCACAAATATTTTGAACCATGCTTACAACAAGCTGTATAGGAATGTGTAAGCTTGATATGATTTCCCCAGAAGGTCAATGCCTACTTTGAGATGGCATGTTGTAAACCAGGGTGGCCAACCCACATCATAGGTGGCACAGGTGGCATGCAGGAGCATGTGTGTGGCGCACAGCAGATGGTAGATGAGAGGTGGCAGAGTGGCAGATAGGTCAGACAGCAGAAAGAAGAGCAACAGATAAGGCAGGAAGCATAGGGCAGGAAGCAGAAAGCTAAGCAGCAGACTGGGTAAAGGAAAGGGATTGAAGTAGTACTCGGGCGGGGTGTGGAACTAATTGGTGGTATGCTTGCCAAAAAGGTTGGCCCCCACTGTTCAAAACTATGTCAGCTTTTATATCTGAGTTCTCAAGGCCCTGATTTAAGGTCCACTGACGTCAATTTAAAACCTTCCATTGATACATTAGGCTTTGAATCAATCTCAAAAAGGAGGCTGTACCTTGGAAGTAGACACACCTTTAGATAAAAAGAAAAGTGGCAACTGGAGACATGTAGAATTAGATTGTTAAGACTTCCATATCTCCATCTCCATCTAGATTTTCACTGTGTATAGTGAAGGAATTATATACAGAAAGACAGGAAATCTAAGGTATCAGGTATAGGATGACAGCAGACCTGCAAATAACAAGGTGCGTAATACTGGGCATGTCTCCACAGGCAGTTAATGCAAAGCTCCTGTGAGCGCCGTTTGAATGGGTGCCCGGGACTGCAGCATGATGAGCCAGGCTGGAGCAGCCCTAGCTGGCAGAGAGTCCTAGGGGTTCAGCCTGCCAGCATGGGCCTGCACCCTCCCCACTCATCATGCTGCAGAGGAGCTGGTGGGGGCATGAGCTTGCTCCAATGCAGAGCTACCCAGCTGGCAGCCCCCACACTGAAGCACCCTTGTGCCCCACCTAGCCAGGGTAGCATCTACATGTGCACTGCTGCACATGAAAAAAACGCTGCAGCAGGGTAGGACTTGTATTTGCAAGTCCTACCCTGCTGCAGAGTTAATTAATTTACTCCAGCCTAATAGGTACACGTGTAGATGTGCAGCGTTTACTGCGGAGTTAATTAGTCTACGCTACAGCAAACGTCTCATGTAGACATGCCCACTGTGTGCAAAATGTCCATTGAGTTTGTCTTTTGGTTGAAATGGTTCTTATCCATAGCTATTTGTGCTGCCAAAAGACTCTTGGGGAAGTGAGAATTATAACATAACTGTCAAGTTTGATGTACACGACCTGTTTTATTGGTGTACACAGTAATTTGGTACCCCCAGAGGTACGTAAATCTTGAGTGTTGTAGAAGTATTCTGGCTACCAAATCTTCATGGTGCAAATATGGCTCTGCTGTGATCTTGAGTCTCAAGTCACCTTGGGTGCCTTGATGACTTCAAGGTGAGCCAGGTCAAAGTGCAAGGAAGAAGCGGGCTTTTGCCACGAACTTGTCCCGCAGTCTGATCCGAACATGGCT